ATGTTGTTCGTAGAGTTGAGTTATATTATTGTTGTTTGAGGACAAACAATAGTTCAAGTTTGGGGAAGTTTGATAAGTGAGTTTTTACATGCTTATTTTACTATCAAAACATGAGTAATTGTTGATTAATATGATGGAATATAGCTTAATTCTATGCAATTCATGTTTTGCAGGACAAGTGATGAATGTAGCGGAAATAAGAAGAGACAAGTGAAAAATGACCAAAATGAAAGAAAACAAAAGTCTAGGGACTAAAATGTAAATACTCTAACTTGTTTCTAACCTTGTGGTGAAGATTCGAAAGTATTAGAGGTCAATTGGATGAAAGAAGAAGTCAAAGGGATGAAACATAGCCAAAACATTATCACATATCAACTTTCAAGCTGAAAAGTTTTGCACCGGTTTTCAGCCTCATATTGAGACCAGTTTTTGACATGGAAAATGATCGAATTCGAAGATTGTATTAGAAGTAAAGTTGTAGTCCTATAAATGGCAAATACTCTAAACTTGTTTCTAACCTTTTGATGAAAATTCGAAGTGTTAGAAGTCAATTGGATGAAGGAATAAGTCTAAGGGATGAAACATAGCCAAAACATTATCACATATCAATTATCAAGCTGAAAAGTTTTGCACCGATTTTCAGTCTCATATTGAGACCAGTTTACGACATGAAAAACAATCGAATTCAAAGATGGTATTTAAAGTAAAGTTGTAGCCCTTTTAGTTAGCTTTTGAACGCATTTTGAATCAGTTCAATCGAATACTTGTGGAGAAGGTTATAACTAAAATACCGAATGCTGTTCATAGACAAACCTGAGCGCGAATTCTCTCGTGCGCGCACGGGCATGAATTTATATTACTGACCCTAAAACCAATGAACGGCGCACATGCAAGGAAATATATGGCACACGTACACATGTATTGTTCACAGATGAATCTTTAATTTCCTTCTATGACTCAAACTCTTTTGGTAATATATTTTGTACCACTTGTCAACCTCAAAAAGTTCCAAAACGCCTCATTCTTGATACTACACCATTCTTTCATTGACTTTGGCTCAAGAAACCAATGAAGAACTAAACTATTGGTGAAGCCACGAAGGAACTCAATTGAATTTGGATATTTCGACATCATTTATTCATGTAATGTGTTTTCAATGTTTAAATAATTTTAGAGTTTATGTTTTCCGTACTTTGAATCAGATTTAAGTTTAACTTAGCTTTTATTCAATTTTTCATGGATTTAATCATGTTTCTTCCATTGAATAATTAAAATATTGGTTTAAGTTTCAATTTCAAATAATTTACTGGTGTGATTTAATTACTGCTATATATTAGAAATATATAGTCGCTTTTTGAATCTAATTTCAATAAATTAATGTAGGATTGTGATTTGGAAAACGCAAATTTTAGGATTACATGTGGGATTAAATTGGTTCGTATTGCTAAACCATTGGATTAGAAAGTTATGATAAAAACTTCTAATTGAGTAGAGAATGCATGAATTATTGATGTTGATTGATTCAATATA